AAATAGCGAGAGTTTGTATAATTTTATATTCCTTTGTATCAAAATCGAGTTTGAATTGCAATATTGTGACACTTATAATCCACATATTCATAAACTCTGATCACACACAAGGATCCAAGGCCAGACTCAACCAGGTCCCACTGTTTAACTCTATGACCATGGTTTGTCAAGAAAAGAATCTCGTCATCACAAAAAGACATTCATTTTGCTATTTTCCAGAATCTTTTGTTACACCTTGTCATACATTGGTTTCCCAGTAAACTACAACTTCAATATTGATTCTTGTCACGTGGGACTTGTTCAGTTTGTCCCAGTTAATCACTATAACTGTCCTGTCCACAAGTGAGCCTGTCCTGTACAAAGCATGTCCCCAGTGATGGACATGATGAATGGGACACTGACGGATGTTCAATCATTATTCCCCCAGGGGCCCGCACGCACGTTTGACACCAATGAACCTCCCACGCATCACGCTAAAAACATGTTGCAATGGCAGAATTAACTTGAGCAAACCACAAAGAAAAAAACGAAATATTTTCTGTAGAATTTTACGAGAGTTAAATCATTAAAGGGCCCATATTATGCTGTTTTCTGATCTATGCTATAATGTTTTCTCATCAAAAACATAGTTATGTTTTGTTTCATTAACACATTTAACTCACAAATCCTATATTTTCTCAAACCAAAAACCAGGATTCATTGTGTTTTTAAACTCTATAATCCATGTATCATTCCTCTATTCGTTTTTCAATATAAAACCAAAAATGACAAAATGAAAAAACAACTATTTTCTTCATTATTTGTCTCCAAAATCACAATGAAAAAAGGGTTAACTATTTGTTTTTTTAGGACTGAGACCGGGACCACACCAGGACTGAGACCGGGACCAGACCAGGACTGAGACAGGGACCAGATCGGGAGCAGACCGGGACCAGACTGGGACTGAGACCATTTTAGTCCTGGTTTAGTCCTGGCTCAATCCTGGTTCAGTCCTGGTTCAGTCCTGGTTTAGATCTGGTTTAGTCCTGGTTTAGTCCTGGTTTAGACCTGTGTTAGACCTGTTTTAGACCTGTTTTAGACCTGTTTTAGTCCTGGTTCAGTCCGTATGCAGCACAAACGTCCGGCATCGCAGTTTACATCACAGAAACGGGAAACGTCCGATGTCTGTTTTTTCCATTATTCATTTAAACACAAAATCAAAACTGAAAAAAAAAAAAATAAAACTGTTATCTGTTTTTTTGTTTTGGTTTTGGAGACAGAAGGTAATAATGAATAAAATAGTAGTATAGAATAATAATGAAGAAAATTGTTGTTTTTTTTGTTTTCTTATTTTTGGTTTTATTTTGAAAAACAAATGAATGAATGATATGCAGATGCTCTATAAACCTTCACTAGAATCATTTGGATAATTTCAGCCCTAGAATTTCCAATCTCCACTAAACAAAAGGTAAAATGTAGCTGCTGACTTTATAACTACTGCTTCATGACATCACAAGGTGGAACAAAGTATTCTGAGCTTTGGAGATGTGGACAGACTAAAAAATATGTGTGGAAAAACAGGATCTTTAAATGATAATGTTCAGAAGTGCAGTGTCTTACTCTGCAAAAAAAAAAGTAGTTGAGATCTGTACAAATGTGTTCTGAAATGTGTTAGTGTTATATTAGTTTGTCATAATTCAGGTTTTTTTTTACTATTCTTAGAAAAATTTTTTGATAACATGGACACTCATGGTCACCCACTGCACCAGACTACAGAGAGACAGATAATACTCCCTACAACTGTACAACAACTCACCCACTGCACCAGACTATAGAGGGACAGATAATACTCCCTGCAACTGTAACACAACTCATCCTTATGTAACAGATAATACTCCCTACAACTGTACAACAACTCACCCACTGCACCAGACTATAGAGGGACAGATAATACTCCCTACAACTGTAACACAGAGGAGAGATATAGGACTACATTCATACCATACTGCATACAACTGTACAACAACTCACCCTTATGTAACAGATAATACTCCCTACAACTGTACCCTCACCCTTATGTAACAGATAATACTCCCTACAACTGTACCCTCACCCTTATGTGACAGATAATACTCCCTACAACTGTACCCTCACCCTTACTTAACAGATAAGCCTATATCCTATCAATCATCATATCATCTTGGCACGATACGACCGCTTGTGTTTGTGTGTCTTTTTTTTTTTCTTTACTTTGAATTTTTTATTGCTACTTCTTAAGAAGTTAATTATATTTTGTACTCTTGGTTATAATAATATATTGATGTGTGAGTCATTGTGTCCAAGTCATTTCTCTTGTGGATCAATAAAATCTGTCTAAGTCTAATTCTTCAGGACACATTTTAGATTTTAAAAATAAATCAGAAATCTTACCACAATCACAATGCCCCTCAGAAAAAAAAAAAATACATAGATAGTCCACATTTCAGAACACATTTGTAAAGGTGTATACTACTGCAATGGAGATGAGATATTTTCTTGTTTGCAAAAGACATCGTAACACGGAAATAACTGCAGCATTACAGATTTGCTAATTTTTCCCATTCAAATTTGAATTTTGATTTAGCTGCAATCTTAAGCAGAGCCAAATGTGTTCTGTAATGAAACATTAGTGATTTCTATGTTGGTATTTTTATCTATATCTTCTATCTATATCACCAAGGTCACCTGACTCCATCAACATTAGACGAAAGAAAGGCCGAGTAAAAGGCAGGCCTCGCCCGGAGAGAGGGATAAAGACAGAGAGAAAGAAAGAAAGAAAGAAAGGGGGAGAGACAAGGAGTAAAGAGAGGTAGAAAAGGGGAGAGAGGAAGAGAGAGAACGAGAAAGAGAGAGAGACAGAAAGAGAGAGGTAGAGACAGAGAGAAAGGGGGAGGGAGGAAGAGAGAAAAAAGAGAGAGGGGGAGGCAGGAAGAGAGAAATAGAGAGAGAGAGAGGTAGCGACATGGAGGGAGGAAGACAGTGAAAGAGAGGGATAGAGAGAGAAAGAGAGACAAGGAGGGGAGAGTGGTAGAGACAAAGAGAAAGAGGGCAGGGGGAAGAGAGAAAGAGAAAGACAGACAGAGAGAGAGGGACAGAGAGAGAGAAAGAGACAATGAGGGGAGAGAGAGATAGAGACAGAAAGAAAGGGGGAGGAAGAGACAGAGAGAGGGCAGGGAGGAAGAGCGAGAGGGAGGTAGAGAGATAGAGAGAGACACAGAGAGAGGTATAGACAGAGAGAAAGGGGAGGGAGGAAAAGAGAAAGACAGACAGAGAGGTAGAGACAGGGAGAGAGGAAGAGAGAGGGACAGCGAGAGAGAGAAAGACAGAGATAAGGAGGGGAGAGAGAGGTAGAGACAAAGAGAAAGGGGGAGGGAGGAAGAGAGAGTGACAGAGAGAGGCAGATTCAGAGAGAACGGGGAGGGACGAAGAAAGAAATAGAGAGAGACAACGAGCGGTACAGACAGAGAGAAAGGGGGAGGGAGGCAGAGAGAAAGAAAGAGAGAGTAAAAGGTAGAGACAGAGAGAAACTGGGAAGGAGGGAGGAAGAGAGAAAGAGAGAGAGAGACAGAGAGAGAGAGGTAGAGACAGGAGAAAGGAGGAGGGAGGAAGAGAGAGAAAGAGAGAGGGATAGAGAGAGAGAAAGAGAGACAATGAGGGGAGAGAGGGGTAGAGACAGAGAGAAAGGGGGAGGAAGAGACAGAGAGAGGTAGAAACAGGGAGAGAGGTGAGAGAGGTAGACAGACTGAGAGAGAGGTAGAGACAGAGAGAGAGAGAGAGAGAGAGAGAGACAAGGAGGGGGGAGAGAGAGGTAGAGACAGAGACAGAGAGAAAGAGAGAGGGCTAGAGAGAGAGAAAGAGATAAGAGAGACAAGTAGGGGGGAGAGAGGTAGAGCCAGACAGAAGGAGAGGGAGGGAGGAAGAGAGAAACAGAGAGAAAGCCAGACAGATAGAGATAGAGAGAAAGGGGAAGAGCTGAAGAGAGAGAAAGAGAAAAAAAGAGAGGGAGAGAGAGGCCACTACTGTTATCTATAGCACACAATCCCAAAACGCATCTGTGTGTGCTGCTAAAGGTAACACAAACACACAACATAGAAATACTATTTAACATTATAATATTTAAATGAAGACCAGTTACACTTTTGCGTCAACACGTCCCACACAACATAATTCATGTCACAACACAATCATCAAGCGATCTGTGTGTTACAGCAACACAACAACATCACAGCATCAACACAAAACTCCAAACTATTATCTATTTCAGGTCAAAGAAGTTTTAAATTTTGTTCTGAATGTTACAAGAATCTAAAATGTTGGACAGAGGTTTTTCACACTCTGTGGTTTGGTCCCAGTCCCTTCTGGATTCAAACAGAACGTACAAATGATTATAAACTACTATAAAGTCAGCCATTTGTGCACACATACTACACACAACAGGATGTCCCCAGTGTGTGTATGTGCATATCTGTCCCTAATGTGTGTGTAGTGTGCAGATCTGTCTTTGTGTGTTGTGTTGTGTTATAAAGTGCAGTTCTGTCTTTGTGTGTGCGTGTGTGTGTAATGTGCAGTTCGTCTGTGTGTGTGTGTGTGTGTGTGTGTGTGTGTATGTGTGGTGTACAGATCTGTGTGTGTGTAGTGTGTAGATCTATGTGTGTGTGTAGTGTGTAGATCTGTGTCTGTTTGTTTTGTGTTGTGTAGTGCAGTTCTGTGTGTGTGTAGTGCAGTTCTGTCTTTCTGTGTGTGTGTGTGTGTTGTGTAGTGTGTGTGTTCTGTCTGTGTGTGTTGTATAGTATAGTTCTGTCTCTGTGTGTGTTGTGTAGTGCAGTTCTGTCTCTGTGTGTGTGTGTGTGTAGTGCAGTTCTGTCTCTGTTGTGTTGTGTAGTGCAGTTCTGTCTCTGTGTGTTGTGTTGTGTAGTGCAGTTCTGTCTCTGTGTGTTGTGTTGTGTAGTGCAGTTTTGTGCGTGTGTCCTCCCAGCACTCACCCTGAGCTCCTTGAAGAAGACGCAGCTGCGCGCCCACTCCACGATGGAGAAGAGCGTCTGGTCCGCCATGCGGCACATGAGGCTGAAGGTGCTGGGCTTGTCCAGTCGGCCCCTCCCCCCCTGCTCCTGCTGCAGGTGGGTCACGATCTTGTTTTGGACCACCAGCTCGTCCGGGTCACAGCGCAGCAGCTCCAGCACCAGCGGGGGCAGGCTGGGGGGCTGCGGGGACGAGGAGGGGTACATCTCCGGGTAGGGGTATCCCGTCAGCGAATCCGGCGAGCTGGTGTAGTCTGGGCACTCGGCTTTGATCACCCTGCTGGGGAAAGCCGTGTACTGGTACTGGGCGCTGAGGGACACGTGGGACTGCATGGCCATACCCAGCGAGGGCCCGTACAGGTTGGCGTCGTAGTCTGTGGGGGGCAGGGAGCTGGGGGTGGTGGTGGCTGTGGGGGGCAGCAGCGACTTAGAGATGGTGGGGAGGGTGTGGAGGGGCGCGCTGAAGGTGTAGTCGTTCTGCAGCGGGGAGGCGGGAGGCGGGGCTGTTGCCGTGGCGCTGCTCTCCAGTTTGAAGCCGTTGGATCGTATCAAGGCTTTCTTCTGCTGCTTCAAGGCCCTGTCTCGCTTGTACATGGGGCCAAATTTGTTCCTCCCCCCACGCATTCGGTCTGCACGCACCGCTACGACACAAGGAACGCACACACTTAGAGGAGAAAACTGACAATTGTACTTCATAAATACTGTGACATAAATACATATTAAAGGTAAATTATATTGTGATGTGTGGGTTACTGTGTCCAAGTATTTTCCCTTGTGGTCAATAAAATCTAAGTCTAATATGTTTTTCCAATTCTAGTGAGCATACAGCTTTTTTTTATCCAGTAACATCAAAAGGCAGAGAATTTTTTTTTTGCAAGGGGCTCGAACAGAAATGCACAAAAATAATAACGATAACAGAAGTTGGGATAATAAACCTTGAAAAACTCATATGACTCTCCAACATTACAAACTATTACCTCATATAAGTATCATTATCTGATTTCAGGAGTAATCCAGTTATTGAAATGTCATGTAAAGTAGTACATCTGATTTCTTTCTGATTAGTCACAGAAATTATGCAAGAAAATCGCAAACTAATGTGGCAAATATATAAAATTGAAAGAGAAAAATACATTGATTAATTGGCAAATGTTAATAAGTACTTTTTAATGATCAAATTTATTATGTGCTTGTAAACACACACAAACCAGATCGAATTATTGGGTTATCTGATTACTCCTGTACCCAGTAGTTGCAGAATAGGTTACATACACACTCAAAATCTGATTATGACCACATTTTTGGAGTTACGAAATAAAAAAAATCACATGTGCAAAGCAGAGTCACGTGCTTATTAAATTGTAGTTATTATGCAGTGTAACCCCAAAAAACACGTCTATTGGAGCTATTTCTTGGACATTCGTGCTTCCCTTTTACGGCTGAGAGAAGTCCCATGCATGCCGCGTTCCCTCTCTGCACTCCTCGCTCGCTTGTAGCCTAAATAGCGCTTGATTTAAAACAGGGGAGTCTGCGGAGTTTTATCAGTAAGTCAAGAATGTGTCGTTTTTGTGCTACGGAAGCAGGTGCTTTCTTGCACTGCTGTCTGGGAATATGGCCCGTCCAGAGTCCAGAGTGCACGAGAGGCAAAGAGACCACAAATCACCAGCTAATGTTATGAACGGTGCACCAATTAAAAGTGCACATGGTAAACTTGCACCAAACCGGAACAATGAAGTCGAGCCCTTTTCAAAAACGTACGTCTGAAATTACGCTCCCACAAACCAAAATAATTATAATTAACCTCAACCATTAATTAAAGCAGACAAAATAATCTTACGTTACGCATGAAAATAACTCTTGAGTTGTTTTTATAAATGAAGCTGTTGTGTTGTTTTTGATTAAAAGCTGCGAACAGACAGACTAGCCCTTATCTGCGCCAGGTCGTAGCCAGAGCCCGTAGGTCACGGTCTAACCACTGGAGCGTACCTTCCAGGCGCATCCCGACGTTGAGACATTTCTGGAACCGACAGAATGGACACCTCTTCCGCTGGGTCTTGTCTATTTTACACTCCTGGTTCTCCGCACACGTGTATCGTTTGTTGTTTTGTACTGTCCTCTTGAAGAAACCCTGTGCGCAAAGAGGAGCGATGATGAAGTTAGCATACGCACACAAAAACGCGGTGTACACAGGGACGTCACGATATCAGATTTTAGCATTACGATTATTATGAGGAAGAAAAAAAAAAAAAAAAAAAAAAACATGAGTCAAATCCTTAATTTTCTTTTTGGTCAGCTTTATGACATCAAACTTTCAGACAGATAAAAAAATAATAAAATAATTTACGTTAATTGTATTTTTGGAGTATAGATTCAGACTGTTTTTTTTTTTTTTTTTTTTTTTTTTGCTCGATTACGATTACATTGTGACGATTATCAATTAACTTAATAATCTTGACATCCAAAGATAAAAATAAAATAAAATAAAATGTATCTCCACTACTCTCTGTGCAGTAAAGCGCAGGTACCTTGCAGCTCTCGCAGGTGAGCAGGCCGTAGTGGTAGCCGGACACTTTGTCTCCGCACACGGGACAGAGCTCCTCCAGGTCGTCGTCGTACGTGTACTCCATAACCTTCAGAGTCACACCTGGGGCACGCACAACGCACGCACGACACACATCAGCAACCAACGCAGTGCGCATGGTACACAAAAAGATGGAGCCAACATAGCTGCTGCATGCCACTTTTATAAAGAAAAACATCTTGACGAAATATTTACCGTCTAGTTAAGCAATACACATGCACATACTACTCTTTTACGCTAAAAAAAAAAAAAAAAACATGTAAAGGCCCGTATAGCTTTCTGTGGCGCGTAATGGAGTGATCAGTTTTTACAGCACACAGCTATAATTATGTTGCAATGCGCAGAGAGCCCGTTTACCACTCAACAAAAGAACGCTAAATGGGCCCAATTTCTGTGTGCCTGCTCTTGTCACACGCGTTAAAGGCTCTTGGACACTTCATTTTATTAGCCTGTAATGAAAATTCAATTAAGTGGTGACAGGTATTTTGCCAAGAGCTGAGTATTACCGCAGTAACGTTAAGTGTGTAACAAAGCTAAGGGTCTAGAATCTCATAATGGCTCCATACACATAATAATCTAAGACTGTACAATTATTGGATTATGCTACAAATATGTTTCACAATATTTCTTAAACCGATCCATTAATCACCTTTATTAAATTAGGACTATTACAGTGTTTTTATTTTTATTTTCTTCCTTTTTAGGACGCTTTGAGAATTGTAAAGTATTTTATTTTTCATTACTGTGACTAGATACAGTGACATCAAAATTACAGCGCAGATGAGTTATAGTTGTTTTATATTATCAAACAATAATGCGTGTTTATTAGTGTACAATTTTATAAACGTTATTATAAATGACGCATAAAAGTAGGCTACACCTCGTATTTTAGGCTGTATAACCACGACAAAAGATAACTACTAAAATACTATTGTTTATACGTAATATAAGAATAGTAATTAGCCTATTTTTAGGATTTTAAAAACGTGCGTAAATCGTTTAGCTACGAGCGTAAAAGCCGTGCGTGAAAGGTTTTAGCAGCCATCGTGCTTCACGCAGGTGCACGGACGCAGTCACTAGTGTACCCTGCTCAAAATTCTCACTTCAAATCATTTGGCAGTGTGTAGGTTTATTTAGCCTGCATTTTTAAAAGTCTAACTAGCTGTACTGGTTTGTAATTATGTTATTTTAATTAAAAACATGACATAGTGCTGAACAATAACCACTGGATAATTTGTAAAGGCCAGTTTATATCACAAGACATTGTAAAGAAAAAAATAAATAAATAAATAATACAATTAATTTAGTTCATGGCATTTAATTCTACACATCTATAGGCCTGTAATATTTGTGTACGTCTCATCTGAACGTTGAAGGACACATTGGAGCATTTCTATAATTATTATATTCAACCTATAGTTTATTCTATTTAAGCCTTTAGATTTTTTTAAATTAAAGGCTGTAGGAGAATGATTCAAAAGTATTCATTCACGGAAGGCAGTTTATTATCTGTTTTTATTTTACAAACAGCCCGATCGTGCGTAAATCAGCCAACTATGTCTTTTATATTCATTGAAAATCGCCTATATTTTTGTTTAGTAAAATAAGTAGTGTATAAGATTACACAGGAGGCCTACCTTTAAAGGGTTTGTATCACTGACTGTAAAATCTCCTTAACGCCAAACATTTTACCCGCGTTTAAACTCGCATTGTCTCATTTCCAAACCGCGTTCATTTTCAGTAAATATCAAGTTTTTCTTACCGTGTGTCTTGTCTCCCAGCATTGAGCAGTAGCAGTGGTAGAGATAGTCGTAAACCTGGAGGAGGTGGACCCACTCAGCCTCTCATGGGCAGCGGGCCTCGGGCTTCGGGAAGCTGATAGTTACAAGTCCGGTCCGGGGGAGAGTGTACGGTCAGTTAGTTTGTCCTGTTCGTGGATGGCGTCTATGGCACACACCTGATGATGACCACACAACGGCTCGGAGTGTCCGTCCTACCGCCCGCTCGCTCTTTACTGCTCGCTGCTTATCGCCAACTTTGGCTCCTCGCGTTGCGATTGGTAGACGGTGGATCACGTGACGCTGGGACGCTCGTTGCCTCCCGGTGGAAATACCAGCAGACAGGCAGATGTCAACTGGAGGGATGCGAGGAGAGCAGGTTTATCACTCCCAAATGTGTCTTTGGATAAAACAAGTTTCGAGAATCAGGCCTTAAATAGCTCCATAACGTTTTTTGTTTTGTTTTTTTCTAGCCCGGTACAGTGTTGATTCAATTGTAACTCTAAATCATTTTTATAAAAAGACGTTTATGAGTTTTGGGGGGGTCCTTTTCAATTTATTTCATCCTCTGTACGAGTCCCTCACTACGAATTTGTGGACAAACTAAGAAAGTCGATCCAAAACGAGGCCTCACTTCGACTTGCATGCGCCATTCTCTTCAATTGTTGCCAAAAATAGGAGAACTAGGCTATAAGTACAAGACCCGTTTGCTCTTAAATTTAGATATTATCACCATATTGACCACTGACTACAGCTCTTTCACTGACAACTGCATGACGAACGACTGAAACGCACAAATGTGACAATTTTAGGCATGGCACAAACCATAGGCCCCCTCTTGTCAAAAAAACAAAAAAAACAAAAACACACACACAATTTTTTGTTACAAATGCGTAATTTGACACTATTTTTATGAGAAAAACAATGAACAATGTGAAGCCTACTATGCGTTAGGCTAGAATTTTAACGAAATCCATGTGGGTTTAGGTAAAATCTCAAATTAATTACATTTAAAACGTTTCGGTGGCAAGATACAAATTATGTTTATTTTATTATAACCAAAAATTAAACGTAGTGCCACCAGAAAACTGTACCTGTCCTGTGGAATTTGCGTCACGCCTGAGTCAGAAAATTCGTCAAGTGCGTGTGTGTCTGCGTGTTTCACTCTTTTATCAGTTTTTGAGACTAGCTATTATTCATTTCTACATATCAAAAGAAAATACAACTGCCATAATAGACCAACATATTCTTATTTTTTCCATTAGGTGATAAATTAAGTATAGTTTTGGATAGTTTCCTCACTGCGCTGTAGCCGTGCGTAATGGCGCCATCTCAGAAAAGTTCACTGTAACTTCTCCCGTGAAGGCAGCATGCATAAAACAGTCAGTTAGGCCTATACAATAGCTGGACTAGTATATCATGAGAGGGCCTATAGTCCAAGCAGGAGGCCTTTAATTATCTCACAGAATCAACCCCATCGAAATCGAACTTCAGAAAATGCTGACTCCGATCGCCCCCACCTGGACTTACTTCTATATTTACGAGTTCGGTAATTCCAGCGCATGTATATTTGTGTGAAGTGGCATTAATAATAATTGAGAGTGACAGGGTTTTTTGCTGGGTAAGGGCTCCGGGACTATTGTTAGCGGAGGCAGGAAGTGTGGGTGGCTGCTGGGGTCCCTGTACGGAAACATGAACAAAGCTCTCAAAGTTAGATCATGCTTTTAAACCAGGAAGTAAACGCAATTTCTCTCTTTCTCTGATTCATTGATACGGATCTGGCAGGCGGTGTTTTGGGGTGCCCCTATCTGTAACTTTCTTAAGCAACATACTATAGGCCTATTTAAAGGTACAGTAGCCTATGTAACTTTCTGGAGGTGGCATGTCACTGGTATGATTCCATGGAAATAGAAAGTTAAAACCATACTTTGGAACATTCTACATGAGATAGACGTTTAGTGCCATACTGTGGAATATAGACAATAGCAGAAGGAACAACACTTCCATGGAAACAAGCAGACAATATAAAGGTCAGGTTTGTGGAGATGCAAGCCTGCTCAGAGTAAGAATGCAAGATTTTCAGTGCAATAAACACAACCAGAAAAGCAAAGAAGTTCAATTTGTCAACTGGACAAAGTTTATTTGGTTGAATACGTTTCGCAGCTCAGAACTGAAGAAGAAGCTTAGATGCTGAGGGATTTTTCACAAAACCAAAAAAAAAAAAAAAAAAGCTTTTATTGTAATCTAAAGTTACACATTGTGGCTTTAAGATAGCAAAAATACAGGGCAACTATACAGTGGTATTCAGCATAGAATGTTAACAAACAAAATTAGTACAGAAAATAGAATGCTTACTTGACATTTTAAACATGAATAGACCTACACAAAACAAGTAATGGCAGTAATGGCCCTGAAACTAAAATGTGTAGTTGGAATAGAATGGTGATGACAAAACTAGTGATAGGTTACATATAAATAATAATAGTTGATCTTGTGAGCTTTAAGCCATGATAGAATGCTGTTGCCTCGACAAAAACATACCTGGAGCTGTCTTAACAGAAAGTTACTGTTAAGTTGGTCTTCGTCAGGGCATAACTGATAAATCATAAATGATTATGCCCTGCCGTTGGCGTCCCTTCATGCAATAAAGGACTTTTAATATATTCTGTCAGAGTACTGCTTAGATTACTAATCCTTGTAGAGCAACTGTACTGCTATTTTTAACTTTTTTTATGACCCATTGAAGCGCTCTACCTCTTTCCTTCATCTGACATATCAAGGCTTGCTTTCGTACCTGGAGTTGTGTTTGATTCAGTCCCACATGTTTGAGTAATCTTTTATTATTAGTCTGTTTACATCTCCAAGACCTCAAAATGCTCTGTTCCACTTTCTGACGTCACACAGTGGTAGTTTCCAAGTTAACAGCTATTTTCTACCTGTAGTTTAGTAGAAATAGGTAATTCCAGAGCTAAAATTATCCAAATTCTTCTGTTGAAGTTGTATTGAGTTTAAAAACACAGTGGAACACTTTCTGTATTACCACATGACATCACAAAATAGAACAGCGTGTTTTCGGTTTGAGAGAAGAAAATGGACGTGTGAATGAAACAAAACATGACTCTGGGTACTTGTAAGTTTTGATGAGGAAACAACTTCATAACATAGATCAGAAACTACTGTAATATGAGCCTTTCAATATTAAATCCATTTATCAAAAGTACAGCCTCGCCCCTTTGCATTCAGAAACACAGAACCTTATTACCACTTGTATATTCCCTCAGGTCTTATAGTGGCCCTCTCTGGAGAGTTGCGCCCCCTGTGTGTTGTGTGTATTAGTACAGTTAATTGTCCGTGGCAGCTGTTAAAATAGCCGCTGACAGATAATCATTTGAATGCTGTTTTAGCTTCTTCTTTACATTGAATCGTTTAATATCTGTTAGTTCTATTGAGTGGTCACAAGAAGCTGAACTGTTCCTGTTACTGGAGGCTCAGAGGGTTGAGGGCCAGTGCATTGCAGGGGGTCGCACATATACTAGGCTATGAATTCATTTGAATAGTTTTCAGATAATTTAAGGGCACACTTGTTTACATTGCATACAAATTGGGACTAAAAAGGATTAAATGCAGATCTATACCTGAACTATATACAGAACTGGGCTAAACTATGACAGGAACAGAACCAGGAATAAACTGTGACCAAAATATGAGCTCACCCAAGATTCAAGCATTATCACTGTTTTGGAGAGTCAAGAACACTCAAAAATGTAAAATGTACTAGGAACTGTAGCGTGTACTCTTAAAACCAGGGGTCTGGGGGCCACATTATTACTCCTGAAAGTGATGGGGGGCCGGGGTCAGGTCGGGGCCATATAACAGAATTGTATGACACAGACCAAAATAACACCAGCAGGCCTCATTGTGTAGTAGAAATGACTAGCCCGGCACAGACATCCACAATACTACATCAACACATCATTCTTGGAACATATTTGTTTATCGTTACTAGTGGTTTGCAAAAGTAGTAAGTACTTCACACTTTGTTTTAATTTGAAATACCACAGATATTCGATTTATTGCACTAACTGCACTACAGAACTCTGCGCGTGCGTTGACTGTCACTGTTTGATCTTCAGCTTGTCAGGGGACGAAAATTCAGTGGCAAATTCAGCAGCAATGTAAATATGTCATATAATTATTTAAATATAAATATAAATACTTCATATAAATAGCATTTTTTATGGAAAAAATCAACAAAATGCAAGATGCAGATGTGCTATTTTTTGCCAAAAAGTAATAAAAAAAAAAAATAGGCCATGACAACTTTTGAGGATTGCTTCAAAAGGGCCAGTTCAAGTGGTGAGGGGCAGAGGGGCTGGGGGGCCGGTCAAAGGAGCGTGGTGGGCCAGAGTCGGCCCACGTGCCTTAGTTTAATGATCCCTGCTTAAAATGGTACCACAATCTCAACTGAACATGTGTTGCCAGTACGTAAACTTGTGAATAGAGGACATACAAGTTTATTTCTCAGTTAATGGACAAAATGCCTCATGTGAAAGATCAGAACCTCCTGAATTCACTCAGTGAGCTGCAAAGGCTGCACTAGCACTGATTCATGAATGGCTAACTACTAACCTAACCCCCTGCACGTGCCTGGGGGTTAGGTAGTGACTATTGAGATCAGAGAGAGGCATTTTAGGTTTAAACCAACTGGATTTCAGCACTGAAACTGACAACCCCAAATGAAAGATTCATGTGAAGGTCAAAGTACCAAAACACCAAATAAATGGGCCATCATGTCCAGTGTTCTTGTAATTAAGAATAAATCAGCATTAGAACTGTTATCAGTAAAAGCTATATCAGATTTACACATTTCTACCTTAACAGAAACAGATACAAGTTTATGAAATTTCAAATCAAAATTGTACATGCAATTCCATTAAATAAAAATATAAAGTTCCATTGACGAGTCTTGTGTTACCTGAACGTTTACAGTTTCAGCAGATTAACAT